CTTAATGTCTCTTCTTATAGACACTAATCCTATCAGTTAAGGCCCCACTTTCTGACCTCATTTATCCTTAATTACCTCTTTCAAGGCCCTATCTCCAAATACAGTCACATTGGTGGTTGGGGCTTCAACATATGAATTTGGGGGGGACACATTCAGTCCATACCATATGCCTACATAGAAAGAACCAAGGGCATTAGTGTTCTAATTAAAAACATTTAATTGTACACCTTAAATGGGTGAGTTGTATGGCATGTGAATTATACCAATAAAGCCGTGAAAACGTGAGATGAAAGTATCCACGTATAGCCTGATTTCACAGTATGAAGCGTCAAGGACAAACAGCTCTTCCCATATATTTCCATTTGTACGCCTAAGAAAAATAGTAACTCTGAAAACGGAGTAAAAATGGCGGTCACCACACACACCATACAGAATGTCCTCCTACAGGACCGAGTCACAAAACATGAGTTTTCAGTTGTAACCCTGGCCCTCTAGGCCCAAGGGAAGGCTGTCAGTTACGATGGTAGAGTCAAGGGGGCCCATCCAGACTGAACTTGTGAAGGGAAGTTTGCTCTTGCCGCTAAATCACAACCACTACTGCAGACCCTAAGTAGTGTTAGGATTCATACAGATATATTGACGTTATTTTTTAAAGCTGTTATCAGTAGTATGAACTCCATAATGAAACGATTTCAGATGTCAACTTTCAGATCTGAAAGATCCTTAACATTCATCTACTCCAATCCCTCGTGCTTACAGGTGAAGAAACTGAGTTCAGAGAAGTTAAATTACTTGTCCGGGGCTGTGGCTAGATTGTGGCAGAACTGAGATAAGACCCCAGGTCAGCTGCACTCCCACTTCAGAGCCCATTCTTTACTAACTTACTACCTCGGTCTTTGGGGAAAAAAGAAAAGAAGAAGTGATTGGTTGATGAGGGGGAGATAAATGTGCTTTACTTCTTGCTGCCAACTGTGAGTCAGAGGGTGGACATCTTAACTACTCCACCGTCACTCCCAACTTCACTTATATTCTTGTACTTTTTTCCCTCTTGTACTCAGAGCGAAGTACAAGCCCCCGTATGATCCAAAGAGCTTCCTTACAGAGGATTGTATGGGGACGCAGGAAATTTCCTGGGCTTTCCTTGCTGGGAATGCCATTCCAGAACCATAGCTATGGGCCATGCTTATAAACCTGCGGTTAGAGTCACTTCAGGTGTCTTTGGTGGCCTCTACAACAGAAGTTTCACAAATTTACTCTCAGAATTGAGTCCATCACCCTGGTGATTCAGGGAAGCAGGGAGCAGGAAGAGTGTAGACTCTAGTAAGGACAGAGTCATCTCCCTGAAACCAAGAAACCATAATATTTTTTATGCACACATACATACATGTGGGCCTACTTACACAGGTACAAAAACTCACTCCTTAGCAGGGCCCTAGAAATAAACACGTGTATTATTTGGCAAGAAAATTAAAAATACAAAATAGGAACTACTGATAGGATAGGCAGAAGAGATAACAAATTGATGAAGGGTGAGAAGTTTCCCTGATAATTAAAAAATGGACCACTTTTTAGTCTTGGAACTCTTTTCCTTTTAATGCCATGGCTTCCATATTTTCCATCTGTGTGTTCACAAATTTCTTTCACCTTTGAGTCTATACTTGTAAAGAATGGGAGTCTTGTATAATGAAATATTTTTAGATTCTGCATTGAAATTGCTTTCTACGAATACTCCTTCCCTGAGCATATTGTTCTGTTACAGATACCGGTATTTCAGCGAGGTGGAAGTATAGTACCAATAAAGACGACTATAGGAAAATCCACAGGCTACATGACTGATTCCCCATATGGACTCCAGGTGGCTCTAAGCACTAAGGTATTTGGAAAATGTTACCTTTACACATCTCATTCGTTACTACTTTATCTCTTTACAGGAGTAGTGGCCTTTTGAGTATGTGACACTATGTAAAAATGATAAGCCCCAGTGATGGGATGGGTGCTTCTGATGTTTTTCTAGAAATCAAAGTTTTGAATCATTTCTGAATCATAGTCCAGCTTACCTGGCTTTTCTGGAATTGTTCTGAAGAGAACTCTAAGAACTAGAAATGATAAAAATTTCCTCCGGGGCACTGTGACCCTTGGTGCTCTGCAGCTTGGCATTGATTACCACTGGACTAATTGACCATTGGGCCTAGTCAGCCTGCCACATGGATTAGCCCTAAAACTCTGTCTCCTATAAAAAGGTGCCTATATCTATGCAACATTTCAGGAACACCAGACCCACACAATGACTCTGTTCTCATCAGATGGCTCAAACAACTAAGATCTGGGGTAAAGCTCAGAAGGATCCAGAATTTGTCCTTTTTAGAAGATTTTTTTTTTTAAAGATTTTATTTATTCATTTGAGACACAGAGATACAGAGAGAGAGAGAGCATGAGCAGGGAGAGAGGCAAAGGGAGAGGGAGAAGCAGGCTCCCCACTGAGCAGAGAGCCTGATGCGGGACTCGATCCCAGGATCCTGGGATCCTGACCTGAGCCGAAGGCAGATGCTTAACCATCTGAGCCACCCAGGCACCCCTTTAGAAAACCTTTTGAGCCAAATGAAACCTATAGCAGACTCCTTTCCTGTCCATTTGCCCACCTATAGTACCAACACAAACTCTTCCTCTTCTACAGGACTGAACACAAATTCATACTCTTATGCAAATATAAAATAATTAAGCTTGCTTTCCTATCTGTTTCACTTAGGACATTCTTATTGGGCCAAATTACGAGCCTCAGACCATAGAATAAATACAAGAGACTCAAGATCCATAGCACATCAAGCATTGTCAATGAACAGTAAACGGCCATTGGCGTGCTGTGACTTTGTTTGACATGCCAGAGGCGTCCTCCTACTGAAAGGAAATAGGAGCCAGATGCTATCCTATAAGTGGAGGGCTTCTAAAGATAGCTAATCTCATCCATTATATACTAAATTTTTTTAGCTTTAGTTTCATTCTGTGAACTTTTTTCAAAGAAGCCACCTATGCCACTGACCATATTTTGTAGTTTAAATTTTTTTCAAGATCTTACTCTTTGAGCTCCTCTTACGTGACTTCCTTATTCATATTATTTCACTAATGGGTATTGAATGTATATATTTATATGACTACATTGTACAGCTTGAATATTAAGTTTTTGTTTAATAAAATTCTTCACAAATTTTTTACTTCCTTTAGGGGGTGACATGCTTTTCCTAGTAAGCTATTATATAAGCACATTCTCTTTCTATGTTTCTATGTTTCACTCTCCAGGATTCTGCCACGGGTGAATTCTATCTCGACGACGGCCATTCATTCCAATACCTCCACCAGAAGCAATTCTTGCACAGGAAGTTTTCATTCTTGTCAGGTGTTTTGATCAACAGGTAAAAAGCTGTGTGCTTTCTTAAATATGCGATCCTCAAAAACACAGCTAATATTTTAAGGTACTACTTAAATTATTGATGGTCATTTATGGAGTGTTTTTTTCAGCTTCACTAAATAATTGACAAGCACAATTCTAACGTATTTAAAGTGTACAACATGGTGAGTCACTACATGTATATACTGTAAAAGGATTCCCACATCAAGTTAATTCATCCATCACCTCACATACTTACTTTTTGTGTGTGTGTGAGAACACTTAAGTTCTACTCTGTTGGCAAATTTCAGTTATACAATATAGTATTGTCAACTGTGGTACCATCATATACATTAGATACTCAGACCTTATTCATCTTATAACAGAAAGTTTGTACCCTTTTACCAGCCTCTCCCTATTTCCATTTGCAAATACAATTTTATTTCTTCCTTTCCAATTTAGATGCCTTTTATTTCTTTTTCTTGCCTAATTGCTCTGGCTAAGATGTCCAGTACTATGTTAAACAAAAATGGTGAGAAGTGTGCATCCTTTTCTTGTTTCTGATCTTGATTCAGCTTTTCCCCATTGAGTATGTTAGCTGTGGGCTTGTCACATACAGCTTTTATTAAGTTGTGGTACATTCTTTCTTTTTCTTTTCTTTTCTTTTTTTTTTTTTTTTTTTTTTGAGAGAGAGAGAGCAGGAGCATGGGAGTGGGAAGGGGCAGAGGGAGAGGGAGAGAGAGAATCTTAAGTGGGCTCCACACTCAGCATGGAGCCCGATATGGGGCTCCATCTCACGACCCCGAGATCATGACCTGAGCCAAAATCAAGAGTTGGACACTTTACCCACTGAGCCATCCAGGTGCCCTGAGGTACATTCTTTCTATACCCAGTTTTTTGAGTTTTTATCATGAAAGGATGTTGAATTTTGTCAAATGCTTTTCCTATACCTACTGAAATAATCATATTATTTTTGTCCTTTTTTGTTAAGGTAATGTGTCACATTTATTGATTTGCCTATGTTGATGCATCTCTGTATCCCAGAAATAGATCCCACTTGATCATGGTGTGTGGTCCTTTGTTGAAGAATTCTACATCTGTGTTCCTCAAGGATATTGGCCTGTAATTTTCTTTTCTTATACTGTCCTTGCTAGCTTTAGTATCGCTGCCCTCATAAAATGAATTTGGAAGTGTTCCATTTTTGGAAGAATTTGAAAAGGATTGATATTCTTTAAATGTTCGATAGAATTCAACAGTGAAGCCATCTGGTCCTGGACTTTTCTTTGTTGGCAGTTTTTTATTTACAGATTCAGTATCCTTACTAGTAATTGGTCTGTTCAGATTTTCTGTTTCTTCATGATTCAGTATTGGTAGGTTGTATGTTCTAGGAATTTATCCATTTCTTCTATTTTATCCAATATATTATTAGCATGTAATTGTTCATAGTAGTTTCCTATGATCCTTAGTATTTCTGAGGTATCAAATATAACATCTCCTCTTTCATTTCTAATTTTATTTAAATTCTAGTATAGTAAACATACAGTGATACGTTTCTGATTTTATTTGAGTCCTCTCTCTTTTTTTGTTGGTGAGTCTAGCTAAAGATTTGTCTATTCTGTTTATTTTTTTTTAAACTAGCTCTTAGTTTCATTGATCTTTCCTATTGATCTTTTTAGCCTCTGTTCCATTTATTTTCACTCTGATCTTTGTTATTTCCTTCCTCCTACTAACTTTGGGCTTAGTTTGTTCTTCATTTTATAGTTCCTTGAGGTGTAAAAGTAGATTGTTTATTTAAGATTTTTCTTTTTCTTAATATAGGCACTTATTGCTATAAACTCCCCCCTTAGAATTGCTTTCGCTGCATCCCATAAGTTTTGGTATATTATGTTTCCATTTTAATCTAAGATATTTTATTTACCTTTTATTTTTTTGTTTGACCCATTGGTTATTTAGGGGCATGTTATTTAATCTCCATATATTTGTGAATTTTCCAGTTTTCTTCTTGTAATTGATACCTCCTCACCTACCATTATGGTCATAAAAGATGCTTAATATAATTTCAGTCTTTTTAAATTTGGTAAGACTTGTTTTTAGTTTAACGTATGGTCTGTCCTGGAGAAAGTTCCATGTGTGCTTGAGAACAATATGTATTTTTCTGCTGTTGAATGGAATGTTCTGTATATATCTATTAAGTTTATCTGGTCTAACATGTAGTTTAAGTTCACATTTTCCTTACTGATTTTCTGTCTGGATGATCTATTCATTGTTGAAAATGGGGTATGTAAGTCCTCTGCTATTACTGTGTTGCCATCTATTTCAACCTTCAGATCTGCTAATATTTGCTTTATATATTTAGGTGCTCTAATACTGGGTGCATAAATACTTACAAATGTTATATAGCCTCTTAGTGAATTGACCCATTATATAACTATCTTTGTTGTCTCTTATTACAGTTTCTGGCATAAAGTCTGTTTTGTCTGATATAAATATTAGCTACCCCTGCTATTTTTTGGTCTCCATTTGCATGGAATATCATTTTCCATCCCTTCACTTTCAGTCTGTATGTGTCCTTAAAGCTGAAGTGGGTCTCTTATAGGCAGCATATAGTTGGGTCTTGACTTTTTAACCATTCAGCAACTCTGTCTCTATTGATTGGAGGATTTAGTTCAAGTTACTTAAAGTAATTATTGATAGGTGATTTGGGGTCCCATACTCAGGTGGGGGTCTTAACACCGGGGCAGTAGGAGTGTGGTCCAAACCTTTCACTCTTCAGGGAGAAGTTGGGAGTTCCCCTCCTAATTGTATGGCACTGTCCCCGGGGTAGTGGTCACGGTAAGCGTGTTTCAGCCTTTCCTACCTGATTTGATGTGGCTATTTCCTCAGTCACCTGATGTATAAGAGTCACTCAGCTAGTTTCTGTATCTCTAAGAGGGAATTGCTCCACAGCTTTACATTTGGTGCATCTGTGGGAGGAAGGAAATTCAGGGGCCTCTTATGTTGCCATCTTGGTCTGGAGTTTCTCTGAAGTATTTTTCAATCCCCCTGTGAACCTTCCTTCCTTATTGTCTCCATCTTCCTGTTCTTCACTCTCTAAAAAATAAAAAATTCAGTTTAAGTTCTGATTAATCCCATTTATCTGCCCATTCAGCAATTCGTTAAGTATCCGATTTCTTAAAATCTGATTGCAGTGTCCAAGTCACATTTGAGACTTCAGTGTCCTTAGGTGATTTCTCTCCAAATGGCTTGTTAAATGGATTCTGGTTTGTCTACTGGTTAGGCAGTCCTCGGCACAGGGAATCATCGTTTCCATCTCTTCATCCTAGTAAACATGATAACCATATGGTTCATGCCTCCATAGGGAAAGATGGGAGGAGAACTCCCAAGGCTAGGATGTTGACCTAATAACCAGTCCAAACCCCTATTCCTCTCATTTTCCTAATACCACCTAATATCCATATTCCAGTTGTGCCGACAAAAGAGGTCGTTATCCCAGCAAGTGTGTGGTGGAGCAGATCTTTGTCCTAGGCCTCAAGAAGCAGCCATCTTCTGTGACCACCCGTTCATCTGGTGAGAAAACAGGTCATTTGTTTGTGTAAACATGGAAGTATCTGCAGCAAAGAAATGATTAGTCCTAAAACTGATGTAGCACGCTTAGCCAAGTGGACCCTGCACTTTCTGATGGAGGTCAAATATACTGGTATCTAGGGGGAGCAAGGCCATCCTGCTTCTCCTCATCAACTGGGCTTTCTGTGAACTGTAAGCTGTTGATATTTTTCTAAGGGAAATTATTTGGGGCTTGAAATAATATTGTAGCTTCTCTGAATGTATTTTTGACTGTAGATGTCTGAAGCCCCAGAGAATCCTACCCATGTTTATGGAGTTATTTAAAGAGCTATATCCTTTCTTATCTACTGAATTTCTTAGATAAATCACTTTGTTCCTTACAATTTCCTTTCAACCAATCTTGCACTCAAAATAATGGAGTGTTTAATGTTTAAAAAGTTCATGGACATCCATGGGTAAAAGTGCTATTAAATTGGATTCTCCCAGGTGGGGTATCAGGTTTTATGATCGAGTCAGAAATATTTTAGATTCAAAGGAAAGATTTTTTTCTCCTAGATATTCATTAAATTTTTCCTCTTATTGTCCTGATATTTAGATGGTAAAGATGAGCCTGTGGCTTTTACATATTGTGCCCAAATGTCCACCCTGCGGCTGGAAAAGCTGTCGCTGAACATCAGCACTGACTGGGAGGTCCACGTCCGATGATGGTGCAGTGTACCCGGGGTGAGCGTGGGAAGCAGCCTGCACCTTTCAGCCTTGCCCTCGGCCTCTTCTGAGATCTGTGCTGCATGCTAATTGACTTCTCTGGCTAAAAAGTATCCATTGATCAGCAGCTTACTAATGAGAATAGACTTCAGGTTTTACATTTTTAGAGGTACTAGTCATACTCTTTGTGTCAAACACCACTTCTTCTCCTAGATGCAACTAGCCCTGCGACATTTATAGAGTTCATTAATCTTCCACTGCTTATTGGACCGTGGTGCTGTGGTAAACGCTGTGGCCCAATGAGTAGCTTCTCCTTGAGCATAGCTGCATGGGTTTGTTTGGTTGTTGTTGTTGTTTTTGTTGTTTTAAGGAAACTCTACCCCCAACGGGGGCTTGAACTCACAACCTGAGATCAAGAGTCGCATGCTCTACCAACTGAGCCAACCAGGCGCCCCTGGATGGGTCTGTTTATGTGAGATTTGGGCCAAGCGCACCTTGTGTGGCCCATTTGTGGAAGCTTGCCTCAGGCCACACAGCAGAGTCAGGCCGGCTACAGCAGCTGAGTTACTCGAGGCCTGTCTCCAAGTGGACAGCAGCCTCTGGTACCCGGCCCCCCCAGTTACCTTTCACCCACTTAGACGTGGGCAAAACAACCCTTTTCTGCTTGTACCGCATACACCGCAGCAACAGAGGGTTACTCACCCCTAAAGACTGACTCGGGAGCAAAAGAGAATTCTTCTCCCTGTCATACTTTTTGGGCTTCAAAGTTCCTAATTAATCTTCTTAAAATCCTAATTTATCTTAATTGTTTTTATTAAATACTGTTTACTAGCCACAGAATATTTGTAACATGAGTAAGCTGTAGCTTATAATTAATAATAAAATGAATATCCATTTCCCTACTCCTGATCTTCAGAAATAGAACACAGGGCTGGGAGGAGGGTGAGGTAAGCGTACTTGCCTTGAGCAAAAAATTTAAGGGGATACAAAAAAAATGCAATCATCAAAATAAATGATATTTTAATGCAGTATTTTTTAAAAATCAAAATTAATGCAAAAAATAATAACAAAATATCAAAATTTTAAATAAAGACAGGATCGGTGTTACTGAGGTTTCCTTTTCCCTCAGGCTCCGATATGGCTTGGCATGGGCTAGAACATTCCAACAGCCCAGTCCCTCAGGAGCCGCCGGGGACCGCCCACGGCCGGCCGCAGCATCTGTGGGGCGACCCCGAGTCCTCGGCGCTCCTACACCAGTGCGCATTTTCACGTGTCCTTCACCCAGCAGCTTGCCGACTGCCACTTCTGTGCCTTGTGGTCCCTGGGCCGCCGTACCCACCCCCTTCCCCCCCAATGCAAACCTTACCATCCCTTCAGGCCCCACCCAAATGCCGCTGTTCCACTAAGCCTTTCTAACTACCCTAAAGACCCCGAGCCCCTATACCCGTGAGCAGTGATGTTGCCCATCTGTGAAATGTTGCTGCACTTACAATGTGTGTTCTACTTCGCATTCTCAGGGGTGGTCCCTTAACGTTTCAGTCTTGTCTGTCTTGTTCCCTGGCTAGAGTGCATGTTCCTTAAGAGCACGTTACATTTGTCTTCTGTCGGCCAGAGCAGCGTTATCCTTGGCTTTCACCAACTATTGGCTACAAGTGGTTAACTGATGAATTTGGTTGATTAAAAAATGAGAATTGGGGCGCTTGGGTGGCTCAGCCGTTGAGCATCTCCCTTTGGCTCAGGTCATGATCCCAGGGTCCTGGGATCGAGCCCCACATCAGGCTCCCTGCTCCGCGGGAAGCCTGCTTCTCCCTCTCCCACTCCCCCTGCTTGTGTTCCTGCTCTCGCTGTCTCTCTCTCTGTCAAATAAATAAATAAAATCTTTAAAAAAAAAATGAGAATTGAATGTATTTGTTTCTGATTTACTTTTCTGACAGGACTCTTCCCTCTAGACGAGTAGACATTGTGCATTTCCTCGTGGACACGTTTCATTATATCAGTTGAGATTTGGGCTTTGCACCGTTTGTCAGCTCATACAAACATTTGCAGATTCTTTGCTATTTCTGTAAGTTGTGCAATTCAGGAGAAGGGAGGAAGGTGACATTAGCTGAAGCAGTATTTCCCAGCTTCAGACTTACCTTAGCAACCTACAGTAAGAAACTGAAAATGGGGTGCTTTTACCTAATATAAGTGATGGCTTTTAATAGCATTTAAAGTTGAATAATTAAGACCTATCTTTAGATGAACATCTATCTATTGCATTTATTTTTCCATGTGAAGTATTTTGGGGGGAAGGAATGAATAAGAACTAGTAAATTGTGGGAAACTGCTCTACCTTGACCCAGAATGATACCGAAACGTTCACTTAGAGACACTGAGTGGAGAGAAATATAGTCTGGGTGTTAACTGTTCTCTGCCCTTTACTGCTTCTCCCCCTCCCCCACCCCCTGTTCCTGCAGCTGTGCCCAGAGCGCTGTGTGGGGGTGAGTTGACCTGCAGGTGTTCGATTACCTTGTTGTGGCTAATTCTTGACATGTTACTCAGGAAACTGGATTTCATGTAAGAATTAGAATAATTTCCACAGGGATTGAAACAAAGCTCTCAAATGCATGATGTGTCTCTACTTAAGGCTTAAATGCCAAGGAATGAGTTGACAAATTAGTTTAAAATCAGAAACTGCCCAACAGAAAAACAGGCAAAGGTAATTCGTAAAATAAAGTAAAACAGACAAGCATGAAGGGTGCTCAGCCTCATTAATAATCAAAGAAATGATTTTTTTTTTTTTTTTTTTTTTGCCTGACTGGCCAAGATGAAAAAGAGTGAAAATGTCCAGTGCTGATGTTGGTGTGGGGACAAGTCATTCTCGTGCATCACAGGTGGAGTTATAAATAAGTATAACCTCTCAGCATGAGTATCTGGCATTAGTGTCGGAACTTTAAATCTGCATACTCTAACCCAGCAATTCCACTTCAGATAAATCAGATAAATTGCTCAGAGCTACTAATTGCAGTGTGATTTACACTGTGGAAAACCAGGAATAAGCTGTGTTCTCTAACAGGGGGCTGGTTAAATACAGCCCTTTCATACAGCAGAATACTATATAATTATTAAAATAACAATATATACATCAACATAGAAGAAACATTTTTGTTAAATGTTTGAGTGATTTCACTTATGTAAAAGTTATAAACTGAAATCGAGGGACATCCTATACTCTTCAAAATGTAAAGGCCATGAAAAACAGGTCTGAGGAAATGTTCTAGATTGAAGAGGGTACAAAAGAGACATGACAACAAATGTGTGTGTGATCCTGGGCTGGAATCTGGGCCTAAAAGGGCATGATTGGGACAGTTGGCAAAATTTGAATGGGATCTTTTGATTACATGGTAATATTCCTAATTTTGAGGGTTATACTATAATTATATAGAAGAATTTCCTTGCTTTTAGGAAATACATACTAAGGTATTAAAGGGTAATGAGTCATCATATCTTTAACATATTCTCAAATGGCTCAGAAAATGTATGTATGTATGAGAAGGAGACAAAACAGAAAAAGGCAAAATGAGTTTAAATGTTACAATTGAAGAAACTGGGTGAAGGATATATAGGAACTCTTTATGCTGTATTTTCCACTTTCCTATGTTTTAAACTATTAAAAAAAAAAAGTTGAGCCATATCTCTATAATATCTAACAGCTTTAAACTGTTTGCTTTCTAGTATTGTAAAAGCTTATAAGCTGTGGCATATAAAATAGGATGAAACCAAGTTAATAAAAGAACATACCTCGATTTTAATGCTGCAGACCACTTCAGAATGTTCCTCAGATCAGCTCTTCTTCACCTGAGAAGCGCTGGACCACGTCAAGTCCTCTACTTCAGGGACACAAATCCCATCCTCTTGTTGGCTAGGACACAAAGGAGAGTTAGTCAGATCTGAGGGCTGAAAGCCATCAGCAGAAGGGAGGAGAGGGAAGGAACAAAAGCTGGGAAGCAATGTGCTTTGTCTTGCAGAACCAGCAGCCAGCCAAGGAGACTCCCCAGCCAGGTGGTTCACCAGATGGCCTCTTATGTGAGCCAGTTTTGGCTGGTTTGGAGCTGAGGACCTGCCAAAGAAGCCCCCCTGAGTTGTCCTAAAGTTAACTTTAGCTCATTATAATACTAAGATCTCCTCCCACGGGCTGAGTTTTCTGCCATTTTTGAACATACAATGTATGCACTAGCATGTTGACATGCTAGGCATGCTCAGTTGAACCAAAGTGCCTAAGCATAGAATATCTCTAAGTTTCTTAATGTATATACAAGTTCCCTGCTCCTGCCCCCCAATACAGAGTTAAAGCTTCTTGTACTAACCCCACAGGAAGACAGTACTTTGAGAGCTATCTTCCCGTCCTTACTTGTAACAAGTAATAAAAAGGTCTTTGTTTTCAACTTACTTGGGTTGTGTTCAATTTAATGCACACCAAACGGCAAAGCCCTTGAGTTCAGTCGTACTCTGAGCACCAGGCCAGCAGCCCCTGGCCCTACACACCCACACTGTGGCAGCACTTTGTTGTTCCTTCACCACAGAGGTCTTACCTGACGGCAGCAGCTGACCAGAGAGCCTTCAGGAGGGCTCACACTAAGAAACAGAATACACGTGGGGTGCCTGGGTGGTTCAGTCGGTTAAGCGTCTGCCTTCGGCTCAGGTCCTGATCCCAGGGTCCTGGGATCTAGCCCCGCATCGGGCTCCCTGCTCCGTGGGAGGCCCGCTTCTCCCTCTCCCACTCCCCCTGCTTTTGTTCCCTCTCTCACTGTCTCTCTGTCAAATAAATAAAATCTTAAAAAAAAAAAATAGAATACATGTTTACATGTTGATGGGGGCATTTATTTTAGGGCAGATGACCTGTATAGGGACCAGAGAAAGTCCTTCATGCGTTTGGAAGGTCGGCTTGGTCACCATCCTTCTCTTCCCAGATCTGAGTTATCCAGAAGATCCTGGCTGTGGTAAATCTGAGGTGGTCGGTTCCTCATAGAAGTGATCCCAAGATTTGGCTCCAGTTTGACTAGGTACCAAGACATTGTCCGTCCAAGGAGGCTGACTGTACTTGAGACTGACCTATAGGACTAACTATGTTCTGGGCACAGCTCACTTCAGAATAGGTGAACTCCCATGTGTCAACACGACCAGGGCCAATCCCAGATCAGGCCATTCTCCTAAAGGCTCCCTAGAGGAGAAAGCACAGTCTGTCACCAAGAGTTTGTCTTAAAGTTGCGCTGGGCCCTATATCCTGGTTAACTAAAACCAGTGAATCTGGGGGTGCCTGGGTGACTCAGTCTGTTAAATGTCTGCCTTCGGCTCAGGTCCTGATCTCCAGGTGCTGGGATCAGCCTGCATCAGACTCCCTGCTCAGCAGGGAGTCTGCTTCTCTCTCTCTGCCTCTCCTTTGCTCCTGCATGTGTGTTCTCACTCTCTCTCTCTCTCAAATGAATAAATAAAAACCTTAAAGAAAAAAACATGAATCCAATCACCACAGCCATAGAGAAAATCGCAATTCTGGAGTTTGGTCTGTGGGCAGGGTTCTTTCTCTTTTTCACACCTCTTTCAGTATCGGGGTATCATAATCATAGGCAGCAGAAACACAGTCAAAACACATAAATATCTGGAGCTTAATGGTTTTTCATCCATAATTGACCATCCTACCCAAGAGCCTTCTGGGAAATGGAATTCCTATGACAACATCAACCTTTCCACTCTGCTTTTAAGATTTCCACCTACCAAACCTCCTGAATGCCTTGCGTAAATCCCAGGGGCAGCACCCTAGACTAAAATAACTTCTAGGCCCAGGACACAGAAAGCCACTAGCAACTCCACTGGAAACAGATTACCATATTAACCACAGACAATGGAAGCCATATAAAGAGCATTCTAGGAGAAAGAAAGGATGGCATCTGATATCAGATCTGCCTGTCTTATGACCAGCCTCGCAAAAGACTGCAGTGCCCCAGAAAGGCCGGCCAGAATTCGACAGCTGCTTCTTGACAGTTGTTTCTAGCAGGGCTGTGGTATTAAATTCCTCTCCAGTCAGAGCTAAGGGAAGGGGAGCCCTCACTATTTATATGCAAGGATCCAGCGATCTTACACCTAGCCCACATTACTGGAGTCCTAGTTACGCATTCAAGTCCCTCCCTGGAAATCCGAAAACCTGGGGTCTAGTTTGGTTCTGCAGCTGAGTGATCTTGGCTATGTCATTTAATCTTTCCAGGTCTTGGTTTCCTCATTTGTTGAAGAAAAGAGGTAATTTCTAAAATTCTGTGAGCTTTCCACGACTTCACTATAAAATTACAGCAGATATCTCAAGTTTCCTCATGTAAAATAGGGTTAATCAAACCCGCAAGGTGGTCATACAGATTTAAAATATTCTATGTGGGGGGACCTGGGTAGCTCAGTCGGTTAAGTGTCCGACTCTTGATCTCAGCTTAGGTCTTGATCTCAGGACCATGAGTTCAACCCCCATGTTGGGCTCCACACTGGACGTGGCGCCTACTTAAGAAAAAAAACATGTATCCTATTGAGTAAGGGATAGGTGGGGCTAGGTAGGGAGAGATAGGTAGGGGGCTACATGACTAGGCTCACGCAGGGGGCTACGTGTTCAGGTTCATAGAAATCCTCGATGTGGAAAATGCTAAGGCGTACAAAGCCAGAGATAAGGGAATATAATGAGACTAACAAGAGTACCTCGTTTGTCTTAAATGTCAGAGACAAGATATCTCTGTAACAGCTACAGCTGGACCACTGAAAATTACCAAACGTCAAAGAAAAAGTAAACACCGTTGTCTTAGTGGTAGAGACATCAAGATTTAAGTTCCCTAGTCAGTTCTCAATAAAAGACTACCAGGAAAGCTCACAGTGGCAACCCATTCAGGACCCCTCTCACTCTAGAAAGCTTTTTTCTTTCCTTTCTGTTCCCCCCTTCACTAAATAAACTCACTTCACTTCACTTCACCCTTTTGTGTCCGCGAGATTCATTCTTCGACTCCGTGAGACAAGAACCCTGCAATCCTGTAACACTATGTGTATGGAAAGGAAAAAATAGTAACTTTACTTTGCAGAAACCTGGTAGATTCCACCTTAGCCAGATGATCAAGATTGCTGTCACCTGTGATAAAACACAGGTATATCATGTACCCCCAAATGAGAAGGGCATATGACCACTGTGATATTCTTTCCCCAAATCCATAACCTGTCTAATCAAATGAAAAACATCAAACTCAAGTTGAGGAATATTGTATAGCATGCCTGCCAAGTACTCTTCACCAGTCCCAAGTCATGAGACAAAGACTGTGGAACCATCAGAGATGGGAAGATCCTGGGGAGACATAACAGTTAAATGCAGTGCAGGAGCCCGAATCGGAGCCTGTAACAGAAGAGGAAAAAACAAAACCATTAGTGGAAACACTAAAGAAATCAAAATAATGTCTTTTGTAGATTAGTTAATAGTATTTTACCAGCATTAATTTCTTAGTTTGAATCACTGTACCATGGTTATGTAAGGTGTAAACATTAGGGGAAGCTGGGTGAAAGGCATACGGAAACTCTTACCATCTTGCAACTCTTTTGTAAATCTAAAATTACTTTAAAATTAAAAGTTTTGAAAGCTATGTGCAGTGGCTAACTCACAGCAGGCACTTAATGAATGATGGGTGTTATAAGCAAATGCATTGCTTCCAATAGAGTTAAATCAAAGAAATATTTATTGTTGGAAGAGACAGTGATACAAAGCCATTAGTTGGCTGTGTTGGTGCCGGAGGAACCATTCCAATCACAGATATTGCATGATGTTGGCTGAAATATGTTATAAAAACTAGTTCTTTATCCTTGAAGAGACTTCTGGGAATTGAAATGTGCAGCTCTTCACATGCTCATTCCCTGCCCTTTGTCCTTGGGCCCAGATTGGATTTCTCCCAGAAAGCAGGAGTTTCTACAGCTACTAACAAGCTGAATAAACCTTGTTTTTTAGACCTGCTAATCTGAGAGGGGGTTTTATCCACAACAGTCGTTAAAGCAAAATGAATAGCACCTTGCACTCCATGTGTTTGATATTCCCATCCTACTACGACAATAGGCTCATTTTATCACATGCTCATGTTAGTTACAAGTTACTTGGTGAGACAGCCAAGGAAAGCAAGGTCAGAGGGTGTGTGGCCCAGAGACAGCTCCTCCCCCCGGGACAAATAAGCCAAGATGCTTTGATTGCATTAGCAAAGCAATAAGAAGGGTAAGAAATTTCTCCTCACATAGGGAGATTTCATTCAACAGATAGACAATACATATTTATTAAAAGCTTTCAATGCGCTTAACCCTGACAGTGGAATGGGGACCCAGGGCCCAGCTTCACAGAGCTTACTGTCTTGTAGGGCAAACAGAAAGCTCAATGAGCAGAAACAATAAAATGTGGGTGGGTGCCGTGAAATTTCAAGATGGTATGGAACAGTGGGCTGGGACTCAAACGTTTGAGGGTGGAGAAAGGAAACTTCTCCCACTCTGCTTTCCATGTCATTGTTGAGTTTGAGAGTGGAAGTCAGTCTTTTTAGAGGCTCTTCTAGTGTAGGCAGATAGGCATGCTCTGATTAGAGACACTGTGACCATGTGATCCTGAGCAGATTACACATATCCCAGTGTTGTACACATGGGAAATATTCAGTAAATGCTCAGAGACTGAATGCTGATCTGCACCAATGAGTGACTCTAATGCAACCTGATCTAACCCCAAAATAATGTTAAATTTAGGTCACCTCTAACAACAACATTTATTGAGTGCTTAAGACAATCCTGGCATTATTTTAAGTAGTTTACATAAATTGTTTAATTTTTATGATAACTCAATAACAGAATGACTATCCACATACCCACTCTATAGGTGAGAAAACTGAGACATAGGAAAAAAGGAAGAAATAACTCACCTCAAGTTATATAGGCACAGCCAGCAAGCAACGAGCCCAGACTTTGAACCCAGGCGGTCAGCCTTCAGGCTGCCCTCCCCTATCCTGCCTCTCTAAGAGTAGTAGTAAAGGTCCTTGGGCATTTCCTTAGGGGACCGGAGGACAGGCTGAGGGTCCCTACAAGCAGCAGCTCCAGACACAGGGCTCCTCAAAGCTGCAGCCCCAGCGACCATGAGCCTGGTAGTCCTCCCTGTTTTCAGCTGTCACTTTCCACCTTCTCTCATAGCCTCTAGCCTTGGGCTGGTGAGACTGGTCACGTGGGAGCCGGCAGGGCCACAGTCTAGGACAAGCCCCCACTGAGCCACACGTGGAATGTAGCCATCTCCTGACGGCCCGGGTAGTAGCCACCATGGGTACAACACAAGGCGGACGACACCAGGCGCACAGTTCCCTTCCCCAGAGCCACTTGTGTTCTTATCTGAGAGCCCTGAAACCCACTCTTTTGGAATGACATCCCCCCGGGACTCAAGAGGCAACGCGATTCAGTGACCAATTCCACCTTCTGACTCAGCTGCCTAATGTGACGTGCCTGCATAGTCTACTCAGGGGCCCTCTTTGTAGCACATTTGGTCCAGTATTTATTTGGGGGGTGAGGAGAGACAAGAGGTATCTAGGTCAAGTGGGCAAGAAAGAGACAGGCATTTTTCTCAACTGGGGACTCTGCAGAGTGGCATTTTCCACCCAGACAGCTCCACGGATGCTGACACCATAACATTCTAGAAGAGATGCCAAACCCAACTGAATAATGTTCTGATAACCTAGGGTTTTAGAACGTAAAGATTATGTTCTCAACGATGTCTAGAATATCCTCCTAGAATTCAGGATCTCACATTCACTCTGGCTACCTTTTTTCTCAATATTGTTCTGCATTCACGTGGTGGCCGATGGGGGGACGATCTGCCTACGTGCCGACTCAATAACGCATCAGCAGTTCTTGGCTAATTTTCAGCGTCCAATCTCCTCAAATATTCCCCTTTCGTCTCCTGATAACACCAGCACTCAACGACAACGCGGGAACGTCCCTAGCCGGGTCCTTCTCGCTCCACCACGCCGTCTGGCTGCACGCTAGCCTCCCGGGCTCTCATACTCATAATCTTCCTTCATGTCTATTTTTAGTTTTCCTGGCTCAAGCTTCTCCAGGCCAGTGAAACACAAGCCTCCCTCTCCCCTCCGCCTCTCCCTCTGGCATGCGACCCCAGGTAAACACCGCCGCCGAAACCCTCTAGTGCTTCTGCCTCAGGAAAACCTCCGACTTAGGGATCACGGCTCGGCTTTTAGGATGGACAGAAGCTGGATGACCTTCTGATGGGCTTTAGCTCCGGGTGTGGATGTGGACGTTTTTCTCTCAGATGACAGAATCACTCCAACTTCCCCTTGGCCATTGCTTCCTTCCCTTGCAGGTAGCTGGATCTTGTTTTCCTTAAAAAACCTTTTCCTTTCAAATTTGCCTGCCATGCCAACTGTCATTAGCGCATCTGTGGCCCCACGGACGGGGGCGGAGCCCAGGTCCCCCGGGCCGATTCCCCAGCTGGGCCAAGGCAAGACCACCGAGGCCGGGGGCGCAAACCCAAGTGGCATCTATTCGGCCATCATCAGCCGCAATTTCCCCATTATTGGAGTGAAAGAGAAGACATTTGAGCAGCTTCGTAAGAAATGTCTAGAAAAGAAGGTTCTTTATCTGGATCCCGAGTTCCCACCAGATGAGACCTCTCTCTTTTACAGCCAGAAGTTCCCCATCCAGTTCATCTGGAAGAGACCTCCGGTGAGTAGCTCGCAGGCTTGGGGTTTTTTTTCCCTCCGAGAAGTCCTCCCCATCAGCACCTCCCCGCAGCTCCACAGTGCACATGGGCAGGAGGGGGAAGGATCCTGGCAGCCCCGTGGGCTCTGTCCTCAGCGGAGGCCAGGCCCATTCTCACTCTCTTGCTCTCTTTTTCTGAAAAACATCTTGCTTTGTATAAAAGTAATGGGAACTCAGTTTAATTCATCCTATAAAAGTAAGCATCCCTTTCCCAGAACAAGTCTTTGTAAGAGTCCTTCCATTTCTCGGGCTAAAATCATGATGTTGTTCCTTAGTTTGTCAGTAGCCATGACTTTCTGCAACACAGAAGCCCTGGAAAGAGGAGAGTAGCCAGCAAAGACCACTTTTTCTAGCATTAAATGTTAGGATGAGAAGAAATCCTAGCAATCATTTTTGTCCACATACCTCACCCCACAAACGAGAAGGGCACACAGAAGAAGTACATCCAGAGAGGGCATGACAGCCCGGATTAAAACCCCTTCTCTTTAGGTAACTCTTCCAGCCTCCAGGTTTCATTTATAGTGATCTATCAGACCGAAAATCCTATCCCCCTACTCCCCTCTCTGATCAGACCTCGCATACGACTCTTATTCTTAATTCAAGGAATTTATTGGGCATCTGCTAGAGCCAGAAAGTGGGCAATTGACTGAGGAGACAACAGTGAACAAGAAAGACAAAAATTGGGGCACCTGGGTGGCTCAGTCGGTTAAGCATCCAGATCTTGATTTCGGCTCAGGTCATGATCTCAGGGTCCTGGGATGGAGCCCCACATTGTCGTGGTCGGGGGGCTCTGCGCTCAGCAGGGAGTCTGCTTGAGATTCTCACTCTCCCTCTGCCCCTCCCCCTGCTCACTCCCCGCCCCAAATAAATAAATAAATCTTTTAAAAAAGAAAGAAAAAGAAAAATTCCTGCTGTCCTGGAGTCTAGAATCCTGAAGGGAAGGCTGTCAAGAGAGAACATTCAAATACTATGGGATCACAAGACAAGGGGAGCTAACCCCATCCAAGGAGAGAACGCCCCCCTACACACACACACACACACACACACACACACTGAGGAGATCATTGAAACTGAGGCTCAGTGCTATTCATTAGCTTAATCAAGTTACTCTGGGACCTAGTGCCATGTTTTTCTTTCTAACCTGAGATGCAATGTCCAAGGCTCCTTTCCTCTCCTGATAGTTCTGTGGTAAGTCCTGTGACTGCCCTGAGGACCCTCAGTTTAGAAGAAAGGACTGGCAAGAATTTCATTCCGCAGCCCAGTCCCTGCCCTGCTGCTAGAGGAATGGGACATGTCACATCCCTGTTGAAGTATCTTCGATGACACTGTTCTCCCCTCCCCACATGCCTTCAGGATAAGTCCAAACTCCTTAGCTGAGCTACAGGCCCTCCCATACAGGCCCCTGCCTACCTGTCCATCTCATCTTCACCCTCTCCCGTTGGACCCCGACACATTCAGCTGCTCTGTTGCTCCAGATCCTGTATCTCAAGGCCTTTGCTCATGCTCTCTGTTTGGAATGACCTTGTTTTTATCTGATCTGCTCCCCCTCCCCCTCTCCCCACTGCTCAGGTATCACTTCCTTCAAGCTTTCACATATCTGTTCCCCATCTGCTGAGAACTGGAACCATTCCTGGTCATCTCTGGACCCCCTTAGCCAGGGAAGGACCAGGCCCACAGTGGGTACTCAGCTGCTGGTGGTGAATGAAAACCCACAGCTGGAGGGCATTGAACATTAAGAGCTAAGGGCAGCCCAGCACTCCAAGGTGGTGGGGGTGTTCCTAAAAGCCTTTTTATTTATTTATTTATTTATTTTAAGTAGGCTCCATGCCCAGCGTGGAAACCAACTCAGGGCTTGAACTCACTACCTGAGCTTGAGATCAAGGGTTAGACACTTAAACAACTGAGCCACCCAGGCGCCCCCTAAAAGTCTTTTCTAATACTACTGCAGAGAAAAAAAAATTCACAAATGCTGTTTTTAGTGAAATCATTGGTGGATTTTAGTCTTAAAAGCTAGACTTGCATATTACTAAGAACAACGTAAGGGTCTGTTATGCTCTAGGCTCTGCGTCAGTCCTAAAATGTATACTGTCATTGTCAGTGTGACATTGGGGGGCACCAGAAGACCTGTCTGTTTCAAACTGTGCCCCCCCCACCAACACCCCCTCACGTACAGGTGAAGTGATTAAGGTCCAGAAAGGGCAATCACAAGTTGATTGACATTGAAACAGTGAAATGATTCCAGAAATTTCTGAAGTATAAAGCACTTCTTGGAGACCTAAGTTTCCCATGCATTCCATAGACTTCGTAACCTTTACCTGGTTCGAGCAGTCTGAAGTGGAGACTGTATCCTAGGAGAGGCCCTTCCTGCTTTTACTATGTGAGGCACAGAATCACTGAAAGCCAATCTGAGTATTCGCAATCAAGTAGTACTTATTTCAATTGGATGGTGGTGGTGGTGGTGATGGTGATGATGATAAGGGGAGAATTATTCAAGCCACCTATAATTCTAGTTAAGATGATGCTGTACTTTCAGCCTTTCCCTCCTCAAAGAAGGGACAGCCAGGCCCTCTGTCCAGGCACACCCACAATCTCTTCCCACTCACTCACCAGTGCTACCTCACTCTTTTCCTCCTCTACTAGGGAGCTTCATGCATTGAGTCTCCAGGCCAAACTGATTCCTTTTGCCCTTCCTTCTATGATCTATTTCTAGAATCAGAAAGCAAACAAACCATACAACACTTCCCAATTGTTGAGCCAAATTTTCTGATGACAAACCCCTAGACAGAAGAGAAACAGGGCCTCTGAGAAACTGATTACTCTTGCCCAATTTCATCAGGGAAATGCAAATCAAAAGCAATGAAATATCACTTTGTTAGAATGGCTAGAATCCAAAGGACATAGAAGGAACAAATGTTGGCGAGGATGTGGAGAAAAAGGAACCTTTGTGCACTGTTGGTGGGAATGTAAATTAGTACAGCCAATGTGGAAAACAGGTTCCTCAAAAAATTAAAAATAGAAATACATTATGATCCAATAATTCCACTACTGGGTATTTACCCAAAGAAAACAAAAATACTAATTCAAAAAAATATATGCACCCCTATGTTTACTGCAGTATTATTTACAATAGCCAAGATATGGAAGCAACATAAGTGCCCACAAACACACACACACACACACTGGAATATTACTCAGCCATAAAAAAGAATGAAATATTGCCATTTACAACATAGTAGTTGGACCTAGAGAGTATAATACTAAGTGAAATAAGTCAGACAGAGAAAGATAAATACTAAATGATTTCCCTCAAATGTGAAATCTAAGAAACAAAACAAATGAACAAATAAAAAAGACACACAAAAAAAAAGACTCTTAAATACATTAAACAAACTGGTGGTTACCAGGAGGGAAGTGGGTCGGGGAATGGGTGAAACAGATAAAAGGGATTAAGAGGTAAAAACTTCCAGTTATAAAATAAATAAGTCATGGAACTGAAAAGTACAACATAGGAAATATAGTCAATAAGACTGTAATAATGTTGTTTGGTGACAGATGGTGACTACACTTAATGAGGTGAGCACTGATTAACGTAATGTATAGAATTGTTGAATCACCTGAATGTTGTACACCTGAAACTAATATAACACTGTATGTTAATTATACTACAATAAAAAAGTAATAAATGGGGCATCTGGCTGGCTCCGTCGGAAGAGCGTGGGACTCGATCTCGGGGTCATGAGGCCCACGTTGGGTGTAGAGATTACTTAAATAAACAAAAATTTTAAAATAGTGATAATAATCATTACATTTTTCAGGTCAGGTCTTGTTACCACTACAAAATTCTCTGATTTTTTTACAGATACTTAGCCAAATGTGCTTAACAAAATGTGAATCCTTAGCATGGCAGACTCCAGCTTTTCTCTTCATGAGGAGAATTCATAAGGAAAAATTAGGAAGATTCTTATAACTACAAAAAGAATAATTTCTCTCTAGGGGTGGACATGATTGTTGTTTATAGTGGGGGAAAAAAAATGCTAGTTTATTTACAAGAGGGAAGGAGCCAGAACAGAAACCCAAGTGGGGTGGGGGGGAAGCAACGGGGCAAGAGGCCACATACCCCAGTGTCATCCCTCCGCTTGACCTGACACCCAAAGACATCTTTTTTAAGATTTTATTTATTTATTTGAAAGAGAATGAGTGAGAAAGCACAAACGGGGGGAAGGGCAGAAGGAGAGGGAGAAGCAGGCTTCCCTCTGAGCAGGGAGCCCGATGCGAG